GATAATATAAAAAATTTTCCAATAAAATATTATAACAGATGGAGCCACGCAGTTTTAAATTCGGCCTGGACAGTTTGACAATTCGTTCCGGATTTTTAATTCAAAGTCATTGCAACTTAATACTTTCATTTCCAATTGCAATTATTGAGAGTTATTTGATTATAGTTTCAATTCGAACACTTCTCGAATGAGAACTTTGTCAGCTCATACTATTCAATACAAAGAACAAAACAATTCGTTTTCCAATAACTAGTTCGTTCGAAAATCTAATTGCACTACTCCCTCCGCAAACAAATCGATGTGTTTGCTTTCAACTCACGACCTTCTGTTGTCACGATTCGTGATGTCACTCGTGGCTTTTCAAACCCAACGAAGATATTCTTTCTGGGACTACAAACTACATTTCGGTAAAGTTTGTTTACAATATAACGAAAAACAGCGCCATGGTTGTTCTGTTTTTATGTGTTATAACAATAACACATAAGAAATTGACAACCCATAACAATGGATTTATTATTGTTTTACGTGCAAACCTTATTGTAGGAAGTTTTCAAAACTACTGAACCAGTTCATGCATTTATGTCACGACGATTTTTTCCACCCTGCGAATCAAATTCAAGAAAATATAATTGACAGTTAATGAATTTTATCCACGATTGTAGATGACGTAACGGTTGTTATGTTTACAACTACGACGCCTGGCGGCCTTACTCCCCCCCCCCGGACTGTAAAGTGGGTGAAGGTCGTCTCGTGTTCTACTTTCTGTAGAAGTGACGTAATCATTGTAAATAAAAGAAAATTTAGAATATCTTATATTTAATTTTAAAATTTGTTGTTCAAATTTACACTCAAATATTAAAGCGGGCTAATATTTTAACCCGCTATAACAGATTTATTACATATGTTATATTAATTCACCGGTATTTAATTTTAAAACAATATTCATTACTGGCATGCATCAGAAAAGAAACCATAACTTTTGTAAACGATACTTCCCTAAGAGGGAAGTCGACAGTCTACGTCACCAATCTAATGTGACCTACTTCCTCTAACAGTAAAACGAAGTAAGTTACAGTACAACGACACAAACGCTAACCATAATGATCCAAACAAATTCTTAAAATTCTTCTAAAATCCTCCCTCCATTCGGTCTTTGATATAGTTCTATGTAATAGCACTAAATCGGTAGCCTAGTCTAAATAACAGGCCTATAAACACTAAAAAACAAATGTTTCGAAATTAGAACTAGATAATTATATGTACAAATAAATTAGTAAGCTTATAATACAGTCGAACCCCTATAACACTGTTGATTTTCCGTTTTATATGAATTCCATGTTGTACGAGTCACTTAGATTTTACAAATACGTGAGCCGTTTACAGCCCGGCACACGTATTTATGAAATCTAAGTGCTATTCCCCCTAGTTGATAAATATAGAACGAACACGTGACGAAAAGCTAACACCAAGAAATATGAAATAATATGTTTAAAATTTAATGTTTTGGGTACAAATTAATGAATTGTAACAAATTTCATTAAAGACAAGAGAATAATTTTCAGCTTACATAAACTGTATACAATGAATGATTATTTCTTCGAAAGAAGTCGATATACACGAATAAATAATAATTATTTAATAATACTTTTATCCATTTTAAGTCGATATTATAAAAATTAAGCTATTTAATTTGGCTTTTATTACTTAGAGTTTCCGAGTATTTTACTGTAAAATTCAATTTATTGAACAGAAACAAAGCTAAGCTATTACCAAAGGTTCCTGTTTCCTCTATGTATTCTTTCAGATTTTGACAGTTACAATTTATCTTATACACTATACCAGTTTGTTTCAATTTATCAATTTGATAAATTGGATTGATTTCAGGAAGGACATGAAGCTGCCATAAGACTTAAACATAATACAGTAGAGCAGTGTTTCTCAACTTTTAACGAATCGTCGCCCCCTTCAACGTAGTATCGCCCCCTTCAATAAAACCGTTACGTAGTATCGCCCCCTTCACTTCAAAATTCCGATGCCGAGGGCCAAGGCTAACGCCAAATTCGTACTGCATCGAATAGACTAGTGACTAGTATAATGTTATTTGTTTAATTATTGTACGATATAACGAATAAAATATCTAATTATTCTTAATATAACGTTTTACTATATCGCCCAGAAAATTGTTTTTCGCTCTCCCTAAATATAAATTGTTACTAATCGGCCTCTCAACATGTTAAAACGCCCACATGGGGGCGATATCGCCCCCGTTGAGAAACACTGCAGTAGAGTCTCGAAAACTCGGCCTAATGTGAACCAGAGTGGCCGAGTTTGTGAAAATGCCGGGTTATCGGGAATAGGGTTAAAAAAATAAGTACGAGTGTTTCCTCAGAAAATACTGTACTGCACTTGTATTTATTGTTTACTTGAGAATACAACAGAGAATAAACTGTCCAAATACCCAACAAAGGATAAGTACAGTACAGCATCGATTATCCGACTCCGATTAATCGCCACATCGGTTAACCGACCGTTCTAGTCGGCAAATTTCAAATGTCCGCTAATGATGTGGCGCTACAATATTTGGCTATGTCTTGGCTACTTTAATATTATTTTTGTTAAATTTTTGCGTGTTTTAGCTGGCAATACTGGCTCGACCATTGAAGGGAGGCCAGTATTTAAACGAGACTTAATTTTCTAATTACGAGTGGTTTTTTTGTTTTGTGAGCAATAAAATAATTTAAAAATAATTTTTAACGATACAATAGCGACGATTATTATTAAAAGAAAAACTTGTTAGGCTTAACATCGATGAAAATTCAACGCGAAGTTGGTTAATAGCGATATACTAATATACAGTACTAATTACACTGGATATACTAATATACAGTACTAATTACACGGGATATACTAATATACTATACTAATAATGTATTTTTTTCATTCTTTTCGGTTATTCGATTTTTTCAGTTATGCAATCAACCTGAGTCCCCAATTGAGTCGGATAATCGATTCTCTACTGTACGTCCTTTATGAAGGCTTAGAGCCTTTACTACATGAAAATGAAAATTAATGACTACACTGTGTACAGTAATTTACCTGATAAGTCAGACCTCAGAAAAATACTTTATGAGGCATAAAGCTGTCTATAATGAAAATTAATTAAATAAGGATTTATTTGCCCTGCCAGGGTGTGGCCGAGGTATCGAGTGCTGAGTTTTCGAGACTCTACTGTAATTCCCCTTGGTTTAACCAAATCAAAAATAGCAACTGCCAAATAGATAAAAATAATATTAATTAAAGTCCTACACTATGAAAAAGATATTTATAAACGTAAATTCAAAAAACACATAGAAATAATGATAATGATAATTTAATAAATGTGTCAACCGGTAGGCAAATCGACCAGCAATGGTATTCCATAATAGAGGGCGCTAAGATAGATTAGTTTCATCCAAGGTCTATATAAGAAGGCCAGGACAAGCGTGACCTACTTCTTGAGCTGCCATTTTGGGGTTTTTTGAGTCGTAAACTTGCCTATATATATATATATATATAGGCATGTAAACAAAGTATTCATAGAACTAGTACATTTTGAAGGAAAATAGTACATTTTTTCAAGGCGATTCAGTACGTTTTGAAATTTCATCGCGGCAACACTGTGTGGAGGTCAAAGTTGTTCCCGGGACCAAAACCAAATGACGAATTCGGACTTTAACTATAAACTTTTTGTCTTGCAGCAGAGGAATGTCATTGTTCGAGGGTTGAATGTTTATATTAACGATGAAAGTTATAAGTTGCGATCGATATTTGATTTTTTTTTCTGACAATGTTATTTTAACGAGGAGGAGACAAATTTATTTTAAATTCGTCGAAAATTTAGGGAGAAAATGAACAAATCTGGGCTTATTCTAAAGTCGGATCTCACATTATTTTTGTTATATATGAGCTGTTATATTTGAGCTGTTGGAGGGATATGCCGATTGTAAAAATTCTTATCCTTCCAGAATACAGTATTTATATCAGATCACTCGACAATGCAAGTGATAAGCACTTAAAAAGTGTATAAAATTGTCAAACGGATTCAAATCTAATAGTTAATTGATTAATTATTAAATACAAAAATATTTTACGAGTTTTTATTTTTCCTTTTTCAACTTGGCACCCTCAAGATTCGTGCACCTGAAGCAGTTTGCTCCAACCGCTCCACAGTAGCTACGCCTCAGAATCTCTTTATTTCTTACTTTTCCGTCGATAATAATGTTCCATAATTAATCGATTTTTCTTCCCAAGTTATTATTGATTGTATTGTTTTTTGAGTTTTTATGCAAATATGTTCATATACTTGTCTTTTAGAATTCCATTATGATTAAAAATTTTACACCCAAACCGATGGTATACCGACTCTTTCTAAATGCATTATAAATGAAATTTTTAATTACAGATCATTGCATAATGGAGCCAGACATTGGGAGAAAAAAATTATCAACAATTTTTAAACGTTTAGGAACGGCGATTGGAAAACATCCGTATATTTTTATAATCATTCCCGTATTATTATCAATTGTTTCTATAACTGGAATATTTAAACTTAATTACAAGAGAAATCTAATTGACAGTTTAAAAGCCGATAGCGGAAAATTTATTTCTACACAACAATTTATTGAAAAAACATGGAAGTTCGCATCAGTTTCCGATGAAATTAGATTTTCTGATCTTCCAAATGGAAATATATTATTCTTTATAAGAAGAAACGGAAGGAATATGTTAGAGAAAAATATTCTTCAAGAATTAAAAGTAGCTGATTCCATAGTTAAAAATTGCACCATTCAAATGTACAATCGAACTATTGGGTACAGTGATATTTGCGTAAAAGTGCGTAACAAATGCTTCGAAAATCCATTTTTTGAAATAATCTCCGATGCGGAAAACGTGATAAATGGAAGAAGAAAGTTCAAATATCCCGTAGACATGGACAAATTGACCTATTCTTATCGTTCTTACGTCATGAATCTCGGAGGCGTTACAACCGACGAAAATGATTACGTCAAAAGTGTTAACGCCGTCCGAATGTTCTATGTAGTTGACAGAACTGATGAAGAAAAGGCCCCATTCATTAATAGCTGGACAGCAGAAGTATATCGACGAATACGAAATTATAAGTTTCAGAATATCAAAGCATTACAAAGTTCACTTTGGTCCATAGAAGAAGATACTAAACTATTTCTGTACAATTTAAAATATATGATAGGAGCCTTAGTATCGTTTATTTGTATTTTTTCTACGACGACACTCATGAGCCAGAATATGATAAGAAGCAAACCTTGGATGGGAGTAGCCAGTGTTTTGTCTGCGGGAATGGCAATCGTAACTTCCTTCGGATTACTGGGATATTGCGGAGTAGAAAACAGTTACTGTAATATTTGTATACCGTTCTTAGTGCTAGGTATGATTTTTTTTTATTATTAAATATTATATTATAATAAACAAATGTATGATAAGAGTGCTTTATTACGTTTCAGTTACGGAAGTGGACGACAGTTTCGTGCTGATTGCGAATTGGAGAATTACCGATCCCGAAAAACCTGTAGAAAAGCGAATGGCAGACACATTTGCCGCAGCCGGGGTTTCAATCACCTTAACGTCAGTCACTAATTTGTTTTCGTATTGCATCGGAATGTTTACATCAATTGTTGTTGTGAAGATCTTTTGCATTTACTCTGCAACCTGCATATTCTTCACTTATGTTTTTCAAATAACCTTCTTTGTTGGATGTATGGCGTTAAGCGGGTACAGAGAAGAAAAAGGCCTTCATCCATTTACATTCAAGTCGTATGGTAATTTTAAATGTTTTTATCATTTTCTCGTATAATTCCGTGTTCCGTAATTAATATTTGTTTTTCGAAAATTTGACAAGTAATTACACTAGCAAATGTTAATGATGGTGTAATTATTTGTTATTGTTATTTCTAACTTGTATTTTGCCGGAATATAACGATTCAGCTGTTTTGCAATTTTTCGATAAAACGCATTTACTTACATTCTTCATCATGAAAAGCTGATATAAATCTGTAAGACATTTATTTTTTCTGATTTTTAATGGTGTTTTACTAAAAAAATATTCTATAAATAAGTATAATTTTATTAAAACTAAGTTTTCCCTTGTAATTTGTAATTACAATTTAATTTACATGGTATACGAGTGTTCCTGGAATTTAGTTTCGGGATAACAAATTTTAAGCTTTTGTATTTAATTTAAAATTGTTATATTTACATAAATAATCAAGGAATTATAGCCTACAGTCGACCCCCTATAACACTGTTGATTATTCCGTTTTATATGAATTCCATGTTGTATGAGTTCCATAGATTTTATAAATACGTGAACCATTGACAGTCCGGCACACGTATTTGTAAAAGCTAAGTGACTCGTACAACATGGAATTCATATAAAACGGAATAATCAACAGTGTTATAGGGGGTCAACTGTATTTGCTTTACGTTTAAGTGAAAGTATTTGCATATGAGTTTTATGTAAACATCCGTGTATGCTTTTTTAATTAGAATTTTTAGTGTAGATACAATTTCATGAAACGCACCTTACATACAGTATTACTAAATATAATTGTTATTGTTTAAAATTCTTAAGTTTGGCTTTGCGCTGTGTTACTTGAATGTTAGTTATAAGCGAATGATGGTTCTAAATTAAAGTTTCATTGTATATGCTCTCGACACATCTACCTGTAACAAGCATATAATTTAATCGTGAATATCCTTTAAGACATTTAAGTGACGTCCGTGGTGTATTATTGATTGTATTGTTTTTTGAGTTTTTATGCAAATATGTTCATATACTTGTCTTTTAGAATTCCATTATGATTAAAAATTTTACACCCAAACCGATGGTATACCGACTCTTTCTAAATGCATTATAAATGAAATTTTTAATTACAGATCATTGCATAATGGAGCCAGACATTGGGAGAAAAAAATTATCAACAATTTTTAAACGTTTAGGAACGGCGATTGGAAAACATCCGTATATTTTTATAATCATTCCCGTATTATTATCAATTGTTTCTATAACTGGAATATTTAAACTTAATTACAAGAGAAATCTAATTGACAGTTTAAAAGCCGATAGCGGAAAATTTATTTCTACACAACAATTTATTGAAAAAACATGGAAGTTCGCATCAGTTTCCGATGAAATTAGATTTTCTGATCTTCCAAGTGGAAATATATTATTCTTTATAAGAAAAAACGGAAGAAATATGTTAGAAAAAAATATTCTTCAAGAATTAAAAGTAGCTGATTCCATAGTTAAAAATTGCACCATTCAAATGTACAATCGAACTATTGGGTACAGTGATATTTGCGTAAAAGTGCGTAACAAATGCTTCGAAAATCCATTTTTTGAAATAATCTCCGATGCGGAAAACGTGATAAATGGAAGAAGAAAGTTCAAATATCCCGTAGACATGGACAAATTGACCTATTCTTATCGTTCTTACGTCATGAATCTCGGAGGCGTTACAACCGACGAAAATGATTACGTCAAAAGTGTTAACGCCGTCCGAATGTTCTATGTAGTTGACAGAACTGATGAAGAAAAGGCCCCATTCATTAATAGCTGGACAGCAGAAGTATATCGACGAATACGAAATTATAAGTTTCAGAATATCAAAGCATTACAAAGTTCACTTTGGTCCATAGAAGAAGATACTAAACTATTTCTGTACAATTTAAAATATATGATAGGAGCCTTAGTATCGTTTATTTGTATTTTTTCTACGACGACACTCATGAGCCAGAATATGATAAGAAGCAAACCTTGGATGGGAGTAGCCAGTGTTTTGTCTGCGGGAATGGCAATCGTAACTTCCTTCGGATTACTGGGATATTGCGGAGTAGAAAACNTTATTTGTCTTTTAAAGAAGTTTTATCTTCTAACCAATATAACTGTGTCTTCTGTGGTTTGTGTAAAAGGATTTAATGATAGACTCGAAAATATTAATATGTTTTTTTTCAGAAATATTATTTTAAAGTGTTAAAGAAATAGAATTAACGTACATTGTGCACGGCTGTTTATAAGCTTATTGATGTATGTTCAGTTCTTGTAAAGCAAATGTGAGAATGCATTGGACAGGGTAAGTACGCTAATTGCCACTTACACGTCGAGTTGGTAAAACTTGGCCACTTTGTCTTTTGGATGGGTTTAAATCGAGTTGCGAGGAGGTAGGCAGGTGTCAGTGTTTCCGAGAGGTAGGCAGGTGTCAGTGTTTCCGAAGTGACAGGAGACAGGTTACACAAAATAACCAAGCATTTATTGAATAACTAATTCTAGATTACAGGAGGCTATATAAGTTCTAAGGTTAAATGCGATTATGAGCTATATCATTTTCAGTGTGTTTATGTGAGGGAATACTTACAAAGTTGGCGACTAATCTGTAAGCTATGTGGCGTGCCTAATCTGCGTATGGGAGAGAGAGTTTACAAAGTTTAGCCCCGAAATACCTCGTAGGATGAATATTAAGAGCAGTATGCGACGTTCGTGCGTGCATGGAAGCTGTAGAATTCCTGGATGTCTTCTCCTAGGACTGGATCGGGTTTGTTATACGGAGGTCCGCGAGTCGAGGTGGCACTATCATAACCACGAGCTTCCGGTATCTTTCGCTTTTATATCATTGTAGTGGGATAGGGAACGATAACGATCCCTATTCCATTACAATGATATAAAAACCGACGATAACGGTGCACTCTTCACAGCTAACTGTCAATTTTCCCACTAACTTGTTATGGCAACTGGTGACCTCGGATTCAATTCTCTGTTTTTTTCTATTGCGGATGTTTATATTTCGAAAAACGATTAACGTCAATTTTTATGATCCCCTTAACAATCCGCAGGCTACCACAAAGAAATGAACAAAAGAAACATTTTTGTTTTGAATTTTTAAAAATCTGTCTGGAAATATCATTCTAAAATATTCGGACTTCAACTAAATAACATTGTGACTTATATTTAGCAATTGTTCTGAATTTATGTTTAAATGTTTTAAATTAATGTATAATAATTATAAAAAAAATAAAATTTTAAAAATTAATTACTTTTCAGCACAGAAAAGAGAAGATTGCCAAATCATTCCAGAAAACAAACACATGTTCATGAGAATATTCAAGGATAAATTCGGAGACTTCATTTACCGTACACCAACGAAAGTAATTGTATTGATTCTGTATTTAATCAACTTAGGATTTGGAAGTTACGGAGTGTATTTTCTAGAGCAAGGATTGGATTTTCAAAACATGTATCCCTCCGGTTCAGAAACATACGAAAGTGCTTGGGTATATTACAAATACTTCAATAAATATTCATTTCCTATTCACATTATTATTAATAAGACAATGGATTATTCGGACGAAAGGGTTCAGGAATCGGTGGAAGATCTCCTCAGAAGATTCGAGTCTCATCCCCACGTCGCCGATTCACGTTTAACTGTTTCTTGGCTGAAATATTACAAAAAGTTCCAAAAAAATCCAATTGCTAAATATTCCTTAGGAGGCTACAACATGTCGAACAAAAACGATTTCGTTGAAGGACTTCGAGAAGTTTTCCTACGATTTAAAGCAGCCGAGCAATTTTCAAACGATTTGGTATTCAGTTCGGATGGCTCGGAAATTACTTGCAGCCGATTCTTTGTTGTGGCGAAAGGAATATCTAACAGAAAAACTGAGATTGCGACTATGAATGAATTTTTGAAAATTGCGGATGAAGCACCTTTCCCTGTTCTCATTCATAGTATATTGGCAAATATGATAGAACAGGGAATAATCATCGATGGCATCGCTAAACAACTGTTTTGGATCACTGGATTATTGATCGCGATTGTATTTTTCAGTGTAATACCTAATATATTGTGTTCACTCGTTGTGGCAGTTTGTGTTGTGTCTACCACGATAGAAACATTGGGTTACATGAGCGTGTGGGGAGTTAACTTAGATATAATATCTTTGATTAGTTTGATTCTGTGCGTCGGATTTTGCGTTAATTATCCGGCTCATATCGCGTATGCATTTGTGACGTCAACATGCGATACATCGAGAGAGAAGATGAATGATTCGTTGTATCATGTTGGCTTTCCCATAATTCAAGGAACTTTATCTACTATTCTAGGAATACTTTTCTTATATAAAGAATCATACGCATTACTTACATTTCTGAAAGTTGTTTGTTTAATTACAACGGAAACCGCATTTCACGCCTTATTTTTTACCCCAGTCGTTCTTTCTTTGTTATTTACCTGCCCGTGTTTGCGAGAAAAGAAAAATACCAGAGACGTAACAGTGAAATTAATTGAATTAAATGTGAATCAGCAATAATACTTAATTAATTAATGGACTTCTACAAATATTATCGCATATGTTATACAGTAATTTTAACGTTTGTAATATTCGGATACAACTAATATCGTTATTCCTTTAATTGGTAGTGTTTTTATATTGTTCTGTTACTTAAGAAAAAACAATTTACTGTGATGTCATGCATTATATATACATTGATCTATATTTCATAACTGTGGAAGCTCTTGTGACATATTTTCTATAAGTATACTGCATTGAAAATGTTTCTGAGCTGCTTCTTGTCTTATTGTTGAAATTATTTGTATTACGGTATTGGGCAATAAAATATAATTAGAGATGTTCTGCTGTCGCTGACAACTTGCTAAAGTCGATTTCCAGATTTTAATAAATGATGTTCAAAAAAATTCTATTATTAATTAATCGAGAGATCGAGTAACTTGAGTGTTTTAACACCATTAAATTTGATTAAAAATAGTTGAATAACTTCTGTTTATAATATATTGAATGTATCTTTCCTAGTTTATATCTGTTCACTGACTTTTGGGTTTCCTTCATTTTAATACCTGTGACAATGACATTACTATATGTTTGTTTGCCGGATCGAATGCCTAAACTGAATTTGTTCGTTTGAGAAAAGAACGAAAAGTGTAAAAAATCGAATATATTTTACAATATTTCATTGCAATGGTACTGGAGGTATGTTAAAATTTTAATAATTAATTTAATTAAAAACATGAATGAATGGATATATTATGTTACAAAATCGAATTTTAAAGTGAATTCATATACAAGATTTTATTACGTTCTTTTGTTGGTTTAAAAACTTGAACAAAGAGCACATTGCAGACAGTATTGCGTTGTCGTTAGTTTCCGAAATCTTTCATCGTAATATACGAGAGACGGATACAACTTTATACATGCATAAAACGAGGATATGAATGATTATAACGGCTTCATTCGCTCTTGTCCATAATTATTTGCGTAGTTTGAATGGAACACTTCCTCTGAGAGATTTTTATGCACTAAGAATTGTTGTGTTTCTGGGATTAATATATTCTATCACACTAGGTTTTGTAATTTCACCGTAATGCAGAAATATCAATGACCATATCTGGCATTTGACGTACAAAGCTAATTCACATTACGGTGTATTAAATAATCTGATCAACGAAACATGGAATAAATTCATGTTTGCGTGGTAAAGAAAGTATAGATCACACGTGAAAAAAGAATTATTTAAATTTTCTTTTGCTGCGAGTAATATAATTGTAGTGAGAATCTTTAATAAATATTTAAAACAATTCAATCATGTCTACTTATTATTTATACGTAATTACTTCGAAATTTCTGTGGGATTCGAAGCACTTACAGCGAAATAACGTTATTAATTGTTAACATATTCATCAAATTTCCAAACTCGAATGGATAAAATGAATCTTTGTAAAATTTATTTGTATAATTCGAGAATGACATTAATTAACACGTAAAAGTTATGTTTTATTAGATTTTATGTCGCTATGTCGAAAAATTTTGTCAAATAGCTTAATTTAACCAGTCAATTATGCGTTTTCTGTTTTCTGAACAACATGGAGAGGTTAACACAACGATTAACACTTACAATTAATACAACGATTGTTCGTAATAATTGGAAGTCCATAAATTACGTCCGAATTTGTTTTGAATATTTTACTTCCTAACACCCATTGTATCGTTTGTCGAAATTTCGTAACCTCCTTTTTCGGACATAGAACAAAACTTATTATCCTGAATACCACTATTATCACTATGAATAATAAATCGGTCGTCCATTGAAGTTTAACTTACAGTAAAGATTTTTATAATAATACTGTATTTTGAAGCCATTCTAACACAAGGAAAAATGTGTTAGAAAGCGTTGAGGTACGAATAGGGAATTGAGTATAACTTTATGAGAACCGAAAGTTTGAAAATCACTGCTAAACACTCACTTAATTTGGTGAAAAATAATAATTATTGTACTCAATTATCTCGTTGATAATTATAAATAATTTCGAGAGAACGTCGTCTATTGAAAATAATTTTCTTGTATTAAATTTCTTAAATTTAAAATCGTCTCGTAATAAAGAAATCGCGAAGATATATTACAGTTTAAAATAGCAGTCAATAAGTATAATTTAAATTATGAGGGATTCAAATATTATGGCTATTCATCTGAAAAAAGTTGATGAAACTTCAAGACGTTCTATCTCATATCAGAATTTTTATAACTAAAGTTGTTACTGCATGGACAAAGAGGATAAGAGTGACTTTTACCTAAAGTATGCTGTGGAGATCCTGGATCGCAGCCACAATTATATTCGTTTTTTGCTGTTTCTGCCCCGTGAAAATTTAAAGTACATTTTTCAGGTCTACTACCAGTTCGACTAAGCTTACAATGGGTAGCAAATGAGAAAGGACTTGTCTTGATATATTTGTCTAGTCCCGGCTAAAAACATTTTTATTCAGTATATAACAAAAATTAAATAGTATTTTAATTAAGAATAGATGGAAAACGAATGAGAAGAATAAATTTCGTAATGCCACATAACCTACTTTCGGAGTATTTGATCACTGCACAATATCTTTCATTTCGTTTAGAACTTACTTTAAAACCGACAGATAGCGGATATTATGCAAAAAAATTTTATAAAGTACTTTCATTGAAGTATTCCATTAATCATGAAAAGAATTTTGATATATTAATTTTACGTGTTTAGTCCTTATTAATATTATTTGCTTTATTAGCTGTTGTTAATGTCATGGAAAAATTCTACATTAATTTATAAACCATTAGCTTCAAATCGATTGGTATAATAATTAATGGAATATAAAATTATAATGACAATAATGCATTAATGGAAGGAGGTTTTGAAATTATTTCTTAATGAATATATATCGATCGTTTTGGAAAGACTAATGCGATATTTCAATACATTTATCATTGCTGAGTAAAAGTTCTTGAGCATACACGAAGGAAAATAGACGAATAGACTAATTTATACAGTATGAATAATAATAAAATAGACCCAGAAATTGTATTTTCACAAACATTTATCCTATTCAAAATACTTGCAATCGATATTTCTAACAGCATGGAAAATTGGCGATCATTTAGGAAATTCTACAGAGTGTGTCTTAAGATATTCTTCTTTCTTCAGACAGTCAAATATGTAATCATATTATTGACAAAAGATGAAGAATTAGCATTGAATCTATGTGACATTTGCAAAGCATTTGGAAAAAATGTCTTTCTTCTGAGAGTAATGATCCTACTATTGACATTATTTATGATAAAAACGTTGATAATTTGGAACTCACAAAAATATATTCTGCTCTACCACAAAACTCGAAAATTTTGGTTTGAAATTATGAACGAATCAACGTTTGTCTCTTTTCATCTAAAAAAGTTCATAAAACTTCAGGTTATGTTAAGTAGTATTTGGATTATTATAAGTGCGTTAATCGGACTGAATATGAATGCGATATATCGTTACGCATTTTTGCCTTACATCAATTACAAATGGTCTGTAACATTTGTTATTTGCATTATTTCAAATACGATTTTCTATACGATTATCGCATTGTATAACTTTGCTTACATAATGTTTCTGATTCTCTTGTGCGAATTACATAAGATGCAATTATCTACAATAATGCACTTAATAGAAAAGAGGAATGAAGTTCCCTTAAAACTCATATGGCAATGTTTGCAGAATAGCAAAGACAGTTTCAAATTTTGTAATGATATTCAAAATGACTACTCCGTTTCTTTAGCTCTGATAGTAATTCTTGCTGAATTTTCATTGGGAAATCTTGTGATTAATTCTGATGAAGTATTTGTAAAATGTACTTTAGGAATATCGTTACTACTAATAACAATCGCAGTTCTACTATATTTGTATTATTTATCGAGCATTTCGACATATGTAAGTATTTAAGTAAATTTTAATTTACATTAAAGGTAATCACATAAATTTCAGAAATTAATTACATTGTTTATAAAATATTTGTGTTTAATTAACTATATTAGTATAATTGTAAGAATAAACGTCAAAACTAAAATACACGTTATTCATATATACAAAGCATTCGTTTCTGGGGATATTTCTAGTATTCCTGTCACATCCGTTTACGTTAGTTTGGTTATGAGAAAGTCTACTGTACTTAATTTTATTTACAATAATAGCTACAAACATTTTATAAATAAAATTTCTATCTCACTGTACTCAAACTACTACTTTTCATTTAAAATACATTTTAAAATTTTTATTTCTAGTATTTACGATAGTAGCAGTGAAAATAGACAATTTATGCCGTAATAAATTGATAAAAAAATGACACTTATAAACATAAAATACACTTTTATACATAACACATATTTTCATAATATATATTACATTTTAAAAACGTCGAAACCACGTCATTAAATTTCTGTTTTCTCGTAAACCGAAATATAGAATTGTTGTTGCTGCCCCGAATTTCCTTTCTATACAAAATTTCCATTATAAAATGTTTATCTTATAAATTATATTTTATCTTCTAAAATTCATAGGTATATATGAAATTTATGTATTTCTATACCTAGATGCATAACCTATATTCGAAAACGTACAGCCATTGCATACGTTGTGAACGATTAGACGAAGTATATTTGGTAATTTAAACAAGTTTATGAAAGGTTTTGAAAATTTTAATTAACAATAGAATATTATTATAATTACTAATACAAAATTATGTATTACAGGCAAACAGTATATTGATTCAGTGTAATGAAACCGAACTAACTTTGTCGTTCTTTGGATGTGTTCCTGTAACGAAATTGATTATCTTAAAGGTTAGTTTGGTGAATTGAACAAAGCACGTACAGTATTTGATTTTGATTTACTTTTATTGAAATTTTCGACAGAGTCAATTATATTTTTTTCTGTCGCTTTTCAGATGTGCAGCTTTTTCTTTACTCAAGCACTTGTCGTTTTACAATTATACCGATAAAATGTAAAAGTAAACTCGTGTTACAATTTCGACACTTTAAATTAACTTTAATTTATATATGTTACTGTGTATGACCGATATCTGGCGAATGTCAGCATTCACACAGTCGTTTCGTGTATGTACGAGGTATTTGCTAAATATTCTCAGTTATACCGGCAAATGTCGACATTCAGCATGCACTCATGGCGAATGTCGAATAAAAATATTTCTGTTACGTTAAGACAAAAATGCAACTTTTTAATATGTCAAAATAGGAGAAAGCTTAACTAACAGAACATGTAAATAAACTGTTGAACCTAGA